CCCTAAATTTTTTTTTTTTTTTTAACAAGAAAATTGCCTTTTTAAACCCTTTGACTGTCGGGTCGTATTTTACGTCTAGAGGTTAACGTGTTTGACGTTATATACTCAGAAATTTCTAGCGGCTTCAAATCAAGCAAGAGAAAGCTGGTAGGCCCACATGTGAGAGAATGGGTCTGTGGTGTCAGTGTGCACTATATAAAAAAAATCCTGGAGCATGCAGTGCATAATGAGAAAAAAAAAAACTCCAATCGTTTTTTTTAATTAAAATGCCGACTTTGTGGTCTATTTTCGCATAGTATTTATGGTTGTATTCTTGTTTTCTTGATCTCATTTGATAGAATGAAAAACATATTATAGAAATAGAGGTGATTTTGATTGATTTTACTATAAAAAGAACCTGGAAATGGAGCTCAAAGTAGGGGAAATGTTTGATTTTTGCCGATGTTCAAAAGTAACAAATGATGTCATTGTCCAATAAATGTCCAACTAGCCATTCTAATATGTAGTCATGAATGGGTTGATGTTATTTATACAATTATTACAGTATTGCAGTAGTCTGCATAACAGTAAATCTTCTATTTTTTGTTTGAATAAAAATTCAAAATAGAAAGCAAGAGTAATATCAGAGGGGCTTGGAGATGTGACTGATGAACAAAGAAAATGTTATTTTAGAGCCAGGAATGTCTGCATTGTTCATTCTGAACCTTATTTTGAAATTGTCATATTTTTAATTTTTGTGAAATTGGCCAAATTGCAAATTTCTGATCACGTTATTGGGTAGTTGAAATCGGTAAATGGGCAGTTTCTTGTACTCAATCGATAGAAAGAATGAAGTTCTAAAGAAATAGCTACGAGTTTGGTCGACTGGAACAATGGAATTAGCTGAAAATAGGGCTCAAAGTGAGGGAAATTGCTGATTTGTAAATATCGCCGAGGTCGCTAACTTCGAGAGAGCGTAATTCCGCCAGTTTTCCATCAAATTTCGTGTTTTTGGTGCCATTACAATCGGGAAAAGATTCTCTATCATTTCATAAGAAAAAATATTTTTTTTTTTTTTTTTTAAATTTTGTGACACCAGGAGACACTTCAGGATTGGGGGTTGCGACAATCAAGGTAAGGTTAATTAAAAAAAATAAGATTTTTTTTTTTCAAAATATTCGGAGCATTATGCAGGTGAACATAGATCTACGCTTGGACAGTTTAACCCTTAAATGGTCCAAACGTATATATACATTTTTTCAACATCTGAAAGTATGTAAAAAAATGTAGATCTTCTTTTTTGTTTTACATTTGAAAACGTGTAAAGAACACTTATCTACATTTTTTTTTTTTTATATTTGAAAATATGTAAAAAAAAGTAGATCTGCTTATACAGCACTACGAATTTGAACGTCAATCTCTTTGGACTGTTTAAGGGTTAAGGGTTAAAATTGCTAATTCCTTTAGATAAATACAGTGCTGAATGAGTAATTGCCTTGCTCAAAATCTAAAAAAAGGCATAAAAACATTAATAAGGAAAAGTAATTTTGATATAATGTATATCAAAACCATGAATATAAAAGTCAAAAATGCTAGGGGTTTACTGCATAATTTCAGGAGTTAACATTCACAAGTTTGTAAAATGTAAAAACTCACCAACAAGTGAGCAACAGCATCGGGTACACTGTGTTCCTCACACCAATCTTGAAGCTTTGAGAGAAGGCTTGATGGCTCAATGGTTGAAGAACTTCCTGCCCATACACCCTTTAGATCCTTTGTTTCATTATTATATTCATAGTCAACAACAATTCCTGAAAACCGATATAAAAATATAATACACATTTATTTTTTCAACTGTTTATGAACATTTTTTTTTAAAGCCAATTGCTTTGACTTTTTCAGCATCCTATAAGATGCTGTATCTTAAGACCTCTTAAGATTCAAATCCTGGTTTAAGGCCCCTGGATCAAAATCCTGGCTGTACTACAGATTTATATATTCTAATTTCTTTCTTTTTTTTTAAAACAACCCCCGGGCCCCATATCCCCACCGAGGCTGGGGGGGCCCAAAAAGGAAAAACCCGTAAATTTTTTTCCCTTTAAATTTTAGTAATATATACGGAAAAGGGGGTTTAAACTACCCCCTTGCTCCCGGCATTTTAGTCGCCTCTTACAACATGCTTTGGCTTAGGGAGGAAAAATTTTCTTTTCCCATTTTCCCCATGGAGTAAGAGGAAAAAAACAAGAAAAAAGAACTAGAAAGAAAATAGAAAAAAACCCAAGGGGTAGGTAAAAAAACGTTGTACAGGGTAGGGTTTAGTGTGACCTAAGTGTAATTTGGAAATTGCAAAAACAAAACCTGAATCTTGAATTTTTCATGAGACAGAAAAAATGGACACCAGCAACCCTCCCCATAATGTAAAAAAATTTAACGGGCTTTCGTTTTACACTCATTGGCGGGCCGGGTAGTACCCCCCTGGGGGGGTTTTGCTGTCTCCCAAACCTACTCCCTTTGGTATATTCAATTATCATCAAGATATTTTGTAAACAGCTTTTTCAAAAATTCCCCATCCATATACAGGGGGTTTTCCCGTTTTTACAGAACCCCCCTAATGCAGGGGTTTTACATTTTTTAAATTTTCTTCATTTTTTTCAGATTCCAAACAAAAAATATATTAACCACTAAACTATAACCTAAAAAACAAAAATTTTTTTAATGTAATTTAATGGGGAACTGTAAAAATCATTTTTTGGGGCCTAGCTTATTGCTAAACTTAAATATACAGTTTTAAACATTTTTATCAGGCTTTTATATGCTTTTTGAAAGTAAAAAAAGGTTGTTTCATTTTAAAGAAATTTTTTTTTTACAGAAAAATTGGGGGCCCTACTGTTTTCTAAGCCATTCAAAATTGGGGCCCGCAAATTTCTATTTTAATTTTTTATGACTGTTAAAACCCGTCCACCATCATTTTCAAACACTGAGGGGGGACAAACAAGACCTAGAGAAACAGGGCATGTCCCCAAAAAATGGGTTGCAAAAACAAAAATTTTGGGTATTTTTGAACATTCCCCGTGTGGCTTGCGAGACAAAAATGTAGGGGGGGAACTTCCTTTCTCCCTGTAATGCTGTAGAGAGATAGTGTCATTGGCACTTTTTTTTTAGCTTTTATTTTTAAGCATTTAACTAACAGAACATGTTTTTGTGAAGGGTTTATAAACTAAAAAGGAGGCAGTGGGTAAGATAAAACAGCATTGGAGGATAAGGGGAAAATGAAGCATGGGGCAATGGGGTCAAGAGGTAGGGGGTAGGTTTAAAATGTAGGTTGGTTTTAAGCAGAAGTTTGGGGGTTCGGAAAGGGGTGCAGGGGGAAGGGGAGGATTGGTGGAATGATGATGTAAAAAAGTAGTAAGGGGAAAAAGTTAGCATATGAGAATTTTTTTACAAATAGAAGGATGCAAGGGGGGAAAGAAATGGAGAAAAAGAGGTTTTTTTAAAGGGAAGTGGTGAAGCAAAGTAAAAAGAGAGCAAATAGAGAGGGGGGGATGTTATCAACAAATTTTGTTGAAAAAAAGAAAAAAAATTTTTGGGGTGAGATTTTAAAAATTAAGAAAGCCCAGAAAAAATGGATTTTTCAGTTAAAAATAGGAGAGGAGATTATTAAATGGGGAGTTAAGGTTTGGGAAGATGAGGGAATATTTTTAGGAATTTTTAAAAGTTATGAAGAAGGGAAGCTGGTTTCGAGTATAGGGCAAGGAGGAATAACTCTTTTAGGGTGAGGGGGAGCCCTTGTGAGTGTGGGGGGAAAATTTTGAGGCAGTAGGTAAAATGAAAAGGGGGAAGGCGCCGGGTTGGGGGGATAAAGATAGAAATGTTAAAAGCAGGTGGGGGTATAGTTTTTTTAGTGGTTTGGGGCAATTATTTAATAAAAATAGGAAGAGGGTAAAGGACCAGAGATTGGGAGAGAGCATGATATTCCCCTTTTAAAAGGCAAAGGGGGTAAAAGAGATTTAAAAATTTTTTGGGGGGTAATCGTGAGATACCCGGTAAAGTGTATGGTAGAGTTTTTTGAAAGAATTAAGAGTAAGACGGAGAATAGGATAGCAGATGAACAAGGAGGCTTTAGGAAAGGTAGGGGGTGTGTGGACCAGGTGTTTACAGTGAAACATATAAGTGAACAGTATTTAGATAGGCTAAAGAGGTCTTTGTGGCTTTTATGGATTTGGAAAAGGCGTATGACAGGGTGGATGGGGGGGGCAATGTGGCAGATGTTGCAAGTGTATGGTGTAGGAGGTAGGTTACTGAAAGCAGTGAAGAGTTTTTACAAGGATAGTGAGGCTCAAGTTAGAGTATGTAGGAAAGAGGGAAATTTTTTTCCCAGTAAAAGTAGGCCTTAGACAAGGATGTGTGATGTCACCGTGGTTGTTTAATATATTTATAGATGGAGTTGTAAGAGAAGTAAATGCGAGGGTCTTGGCAAGAGGCGTGGAGTTAAAAGATAAAGAATCACACACAAAGTGGGAGTTGTCACAGCTGCTCTTTGCTGATGACACTGTGCTCTTGGGAGATTCTGGAGAGAAGTTGCAGAGATTGGTGGATGAATTTGGTAGGGTGTGCAAAAGAAGAAGATTAAAAGTGGAATACAGGAAAGAGTAAGGTTTTGAGGATAACAAAAAGATTAGGTGATGAAAGATTGGATATCAGATTGGAGGGAGAGAGTATGGAGGTGAACGTATTCAGATATTTGGGAGTGGACGTGTCAGCGGATGGGTCTATGATAGATGAGGTGAATCATAGAATTGATGAGGGAAAAAGAGTGAGTGGTGCACTTAGGAGTCTGTGGAGACAAAGAACTTTGTCCTTGGAGGCAAAGAGGGGAATGTATGAGAGTTTATAGTTTTACCAACGCTCTTATATGGGTGTGAAGAGCGTGGGTGATGAATGTTGCAGCGAGGAGAAGGCTGGAGGCAGTGGAGATGTCATGTCTGAGGGCAATGTGTGGTGTGAATATAATGCAGAGAATTCGTAGTTTGGAAGTTAGGAGGAGGTGCGGGATTACCAAAACTGTTGTCCAGAGGGCTGAGGAAGGGTTGTTGAGGTGGTTCGGACATGTAGAGAGAATGGAGCGAAACAGAATGACTTCAAGAGTGTATCAGTCTGTAGTGGAAGGAAGGCGGGGTAGGGGTCAGCCTAGGAAAGGTTGGAGGGAGGGGGGTAAAGGAGGTTTTGTGTGCGAGGGGCTTGGACTTCCAGCAGGCATGCGTGAGCGTGTTTGATAGGAGTGAATGGAGACAAATGGTTTTTAATACTTGACGTGCTGTTGGAGTGTGAGCAAAGTAACATTTATGAAGGGATTCAGGGAAACCGGAAGGCCGGACTTGAGTCTTGGAGATGGGAAGTACAGTGCCTGCACTCTGAAGGAGGGGTGTTAATGTTGCAGTTTAAAAACTGTAGTGTAAAGCACCCTTCTGGCAAGACAGTGATGGAGTGAATGATGGTGAAAGTTTTTCTTTTTCGGGCCACCCTGCCTTGGTGGGAATCGGCCAGTGTGATAATAATAATAAAAAACATAGCTTTCCATACAATAATGATCAGTTTAGCTCCCAAATGAGGTATGCATAATATTAAACTTCCCCTCAAACAAATTTCTAATGCCTTCAACATCCTCATTGCAGTGCTTAAAAGCCATTATTATATTCACAAAAAGCCCTGAATTTTACCTATATGAGTCATTTCAGCAGACTTTAATGATTACTTAAAAGAATAAAATGTGTTTATTAGTCATATAAATGTAGGTTTATGACCCTATATGAAAATGTTACCTATAGACTGCAGCTCTTGATTATCTGAAAACTGCTATGTGAGGCTCTTAGGTCATGAAGGTTTGTTACTTAGATCTTATTAGAGCTGGGAGAGTTGAGTACAGTCAACCCCAACTGAATAACCTAGATCTTTTCTTTCTTTCAACACACCGGCCATATCCCACCAAGGCAGGGTGGCCCAAAAAGAAAAACGAAAGTTTCTCTTTTAAATTTAGTAATTTATACGGGAGAAGGGGTTACTAGCCCCTTGCTCCCGGCATTTTAGTCGCCTCTTACAACACGCATGGCTTACGGAGGAAGAATTCTGTTCCACTTCCCCATGGAGATAAGAGGAAATAAACAAGAACAAGAACTAGAAAGAAAATAGAAGAATACCTAGAGGGGTGTGTATATATATGCTTGTACATGTATGTGTAGTGTGACCTAAGTGCAAGTAGAAGTAACAAGACATACCTGAAATCTTGCATGTTTATGAGACAGACAAGACACCAGTAATCCTACCATCATGTAAAACAATTACAGGTTTTCGTTGTACACTCACTTGGCAGGACGGTAGTACCTCCCTGGGTGGTTGCTGTTTACCAACCTACTACCTAGGGATAAAAAATAATCATAAAAGGGAATAAAAAAAAATCATAAAGCAAATCCAATTATCCCATAGACACCCACATTATAAACAGAGATGCAAACTGAATCAATATTATTCCATATCAAAAATGTGGAGGAAGTAGTAGGTAAATTTGGGGTGCCCGGGGTAAATGAAAATGGGGAGCCTTTAACTGAGCTATGTGTAGAAAGAGGCTTAGTAATAAGTAATAAATATTTTATGAAGAAGAGGATAAATAAATATACAAGGTATGATATAGCACGAAATGAAAGTAGTTTGTTAGATTATGTATTGGTGGATAAAAGGTTGATGGTTAGGCTCCAGGATGTACACGTTTATAGAGGGGCAACTGACATATCAGATCATTATTCAGTTGTAGCTACAG